TCCACTGGGATCCCCCTGCATGGGGGCAGAGGAGGACTGAGCTCCCTCCCCCTTCCCACATGCTGGGGGAATGACAGCGCACTGTCTGGAGTCTTTCCCCACTGCACAGGGGGTGCAAAGCCAGGTAAGCGTTCCCCCTCATACCCAGACCCCACAGCCAAATCCCCCTCACTCCCCTTCCCCCACTCTCCCAGCTTGCTCTGACACCCTCCCTTGCTCCTGATGCACCGCCCCCCCAGCCAGATTCTGTACTGTCCCTTGCTCCTGCACCTCCCTCCTAGCCAGACACCCTCCCTCCTGGCCAGAGATCCTATCCCCAGCCTGCCTCTGCACCCTACCTCACAACCCTCCCCCTTCTGTACCCCACCTCCCACCCAGATCCTGAACCCTACCCCTATCCCACACAATGGTGACCCTGTCCTACACACTGAATCCCTCTTTTTCTCCCCATGCCAGAGCCTAAGAGGGGATCCATAAAACCCACTAACTCCGGAACCCCAGAAAAGTAAATCTGGCCTATGGGAAGCCCTGAACTAAGGATGTTAGGGAGTAGTCGACTACTTGATACGCAAAAGCTTATTGGGTAGTTTAGTAGAGTATCGACTACTTGCTTCCCCCAACCCTTGCTGCCTCCATGAGCGGCAGCAAGGAGGGGGAAATAGCCGGTGCTGGGGGGAGCCGTCTTAAAAGCCAGTTCCGCCTAGGACTGTCTCCACAGTGCTGCCTGCCCCCCGCCTCTATCAGAAGCAGTGGCGAGTGGGATAAGGGAGGCTGCAGTGGACCCAGGCTCACCGTGGGCAGAGGCTGCTCGGGCAGCAGCCCATTCATGGTGGCCTGGGCTGTCTGCCGTAAACAGGGGGCTGCTGGACTCAGCACCAGCTGGGACTGCACAGTCCCAGCTTATGGTGGTCGCTGCACCTCTGCATTTTAAATGCAGTAAGAATCTAGCGATTCTTACTACATTTAAAATACAGAGCCACAGCATGGGTGGCTCCCAGAGTTGGCATAAGCCAGGACTGCTGAATCCCAGCTCCAGCCAGCTCCTGAAGATACCCTCGCTGCGGCTCTGCAGCGTGGCGCTTATTGACTAATCGTGTAGTTGATACAAATTGTATTGACTACATGATTAGCCCGATAACCGCAATTTAACATCCTTACCTTGAACATCAGTCCTCTCTGTCCCTTCCCTTAGCCCTGTGGGGATTGAGTGCCAGAGGAGTGAGGGATCTCAGTTTGGGGGCCAGATCAGTGAGGGCTGGGGGGTTTTGGAGGAGTTTTTTTTACTTCTCACTTGTGTGGTTCCCAGCTGATTTTTCTGAGGGTCAATGGCCCGTGACCCAAAAAAGGTTCCCTGCCCCTGCCATAAATAAATAAAAAAAATTGAAACCTTTTGTGTTCATATTTTAATATTTTACTTTATTTAAAATGAAGTTTGATAAACTAACACGAGATAATTTAAATTATTAAACAGATTATGCATTTTAACTAAACTGTTCTCCCTAGCTGCAACACTAACATAATTAAGGCAAAGCCATTTTGCAATTAACAGTGAGTTTTCATTAGCAACTGGTGGTCCATGGAAAGGTTTACATTGAGCCAGGTGCTTCACGGGCCAAAACATTTTAGAATCACCGAAATAGAGGCACCCCCAGCCTCTCTCCGGGTATGTCTACACTACAGCGCTAATTCGAACTAAGCTAATTCGAACTAACAGATCCAGACTAAAAAACTAGTTTGAATTAGCGTTTTGCTAATTCGAACTAGCATGTCCACATTAAGTGGACCCTGAACCGGGGTTAAGGAATGTCCGGAAGCAGTGCCGGCAGGGCATCAGATGAGGACTTAGAGCGTGGAGCTGCTGCCTCAGGCTAGCCGAGGGCTGTGCTTAAAGGGTCCCGACCCCCACCCCGGACAGACAGTTCTCAGGGGTTCCCCGCTTGTAAAGCAGTCCTGGCTTGGAGTGCCCTGAGTGCCCACACTGGGCACATCACAGCACTCGGCCATCAGACCGGCTGCACTTGCCGCAGGCTGCCATCTGGGGAGAGGGGGCAATTGGGTGGCTGCCACTCGGCCATCAGCCCGGCTGCCCTTGCCGCAGGCTGCCATCTGGGGAGAGGGGGCAATTGGGGGGCTGCAGGAGAGCTTCCACCCCCAGAAGCCCGCAGAGCCAGCCCTGTCCTCCCCATCGGGGGCTCGTACCCCATTCCTCCCTCACCTCCTTCCACTTACCCTTCCCTAGCCCCCCTTCCTGATGTACAAAATAAAGAAAATGTGTGGTCAAAAATAGATTCTCTCTTTATTGAACCAAACTCGGGGAGACTGGGAAAAGGAGGTGGGAGAGGGGAAGAGAGAGGGTGGGAGAGGGGAGGGCAACTAAAATGATCAGAGGTTTGGAACAGGTCCCATATGAAGAGAGGCTAAAGAGACTGGGACTTTTCAGTTTAGAAAAGAGGAGACTGAGGGGGGATAGGATAGAGGTCTATAAAAGCATGAGTGGGGTGGAGAGGGTGCATCAAGAAAAGTTCTTCATTAGTTCCCATAATATAAGGACTAGAGGACACCAAGGCTACGTCTTGACTGGCCCCTTCTCCGGAAGAGGCATGCAAAGCAGGCAAGTCAGAATAGGGAAATCCGCGGGGGATTTAAATATCCCCCGCGGGATTTAAATAAACATGGCCGCCACTTTTTTTCCGGCTTGGGGAAAAGCCGGAAAAGAGCGTCTAGACTGGCACAATCCTCCGGAATAAAGCCCTTTTCTGGAGGATCTCTTATTCCTACTTGCAAGTTTGTCTCTGAACAGGAAGAAAATGTATGTTAATGTTGTTTGTAGGTAGGCAGATCCAAGTGCTAGCCAGGTGGGCCTGAGATAATAGGAAAAGGAACATTAGGTGTTAGGCAGAAAGCAACTGAGATAACCAGGGAGATATGGACAGGAGATTGCTGTGTGCTTGATGTGGAAATGAAGATACTTGACTAGCCTCATACTAATCATGTGAAGTTTTGTCTCTCTTTTAATCTTCTTAACTTGGCTTTCTTTTGACTGTATAAATCAAGGAGTTTGAACCTTGTGTGGCACTCACATTTTCTGAGTGAATTAGCAAAGCAGCTTTGCTAATAAACAGAGCGGTCTGACAAATCTGAGTGAGTCCTGTCTGACTTTGACACAATGGTTGAATGACATGGACTAGATTGGAACCCAGTGTTCAAGAAGAGAAAGGCAACACTTCTTTTAAACCAATGTTAAGCTTTATTACTTTGAGTTGCTTTTCCAAATTCTAGCTAAATCTAAGTTATTTCCTGTGTAACCTGTCCTGTCTGTAATCTCATATTTGGTGTCAACAGGAACAAATCAAAATTATTCCAATGGGCTAACACACAAATGCTTCCCTGGTGATGCAGAAACTAACTTCTTGTTCCTCTGTCATCATAGCCAACTGGTTCCTGGTTGTAAGCAACAAGGCACAGCAAATTTTGAAGATCTCTTTAATATGCATAAGTCTGCCGGTCTTGCCACCCTCCTGTCCCGCCCACACACACTCTCCTGAATGGGTAAGTAAAATGTGTTCAATTTTATTTTCCTCAATCACAGTGAAGAGAAAAGGTCTGGCACCTGAATTGGTAAATGTTCATGATGATTTTGCAAGACTGATTTAACCTGGTGGCTACGTCTACACTGGCCCCTTTTCCGGAAGGGGCATGTTAATTTCAGCTATCGTAATAGGGAAATCCGCGGGGGATTTAAATATCCCCCGCGGCATTTAAATAAAAATGAAGTAGGAAGTAGGAATAAGAACTTTGAAGTAGGAATAAGATCCTCCGGAAAAGGGCGCTTTTTCCGGAGGATCGGGGCCAGTGTAGACGCTCTTTTCCGGCTTTTCTAAAAGCCGGAAAAAAGCGGCGGACATTTTTATTTAAATGCCGCAGGGGATATTTAAATCCCCCGCGGATTTCCCTATTACGATAGCTGAAATTAACATGCCCCTTCCAGAAAAGGGGCCAGTGTAGACGTAGCCCTTGTGTTTTGCTAAAGAGAATTAGCCAGTAAGGTTTGGTTTTTTTAAATGTCAGGAAGAGGAGCCTTAACATTACATTCTTATCTGAATGTTCAACTGATTCAGACTCACAAGGATTCTAAGTTCTACTTTACATATAATATGAAGCTTCTATTGACAAGTCTGCCAGCTGGGGAGTAAAATTCCAGTTACCTGTTGGAGTGGTCACTGTGCATTCAGTATATGGCAGCTGATTTAATCCCTCTTCAACCACAAGTCTGATCTGTAGAACCAAAGGAAGTATTAACTTAAAGAGACTTCTTACCCATCAAGGTAAAGTACCATATTCTAGTAGTTTTACCAACATACAGTGAATGTCAATAAAGGCCATAATGTTTATTTTCACATCCCTATCTCCATTTCAGGAACTGCAGCACTATACACACAAAGCAAATTCCCCAAGGCAAGTCAGTCAATACAAAAATATAACCCCCTCCCTTTGACACCTGTCAGTTAATATTATGGGATGATCTGCAAAGAGATCGCATCTTCACAAAGATGGCCCAGTTTCAGCAGTGATGTCTCTACAGGAGACAGAGCCAGTAAGTTCTGCAGCTTCAGGTGACCTGAAAACCCCTACTCCTTCTCTAATGATAGCACTGCAGCTATATCCTAGGCAAGATTATTTAAAATGTATTAAATCAGACCCAGGGATTATTTCCCATGAAAGGAGCTCCAGGCACTAAACATTCAGAAAACAGAATGATCCAGTGATTCAAAGGCCAGAATGCTTAGAAAAACTCGCAGCCAAGCAAAGATGAAAACCTATTAAGCAAAAGTCACTGTATAATGATAGTGAAGCAATCTCTTACTAGACCCAGGGCCGGCCCAAGCCATTTGTGTGCCCCGGGCCCCGGGAGTGCAGCCCCACCCCCAGGCACCCGGCGCATGCACAGCCCTGCCCCCGCCCGGTCCAGCAGCCCCGCGCGGCGCCCCCTACAATGGGGAGCCCCGGGCGGTAGCCTGGTTAGCCCGTAGCTTGGTCCAGCTCTGACTGGACTGAGTATATATTTCTCTCATCAATGGATAAGAGAAGATCCATCTCCACTGTCCTCATTCCAGACACAGCAAAATCTACAACAGGAATCTTTTCCATTTTTCTCTCTCATCCCAGTTTTCAGTGCAGACAAACTGTCTGTTTAAGGGAAAATCTTCAGTTGTAGTAAGTGCCAAAGGCCTTTCCATTTATTGTCATGCTGAAGAAATTTCAGTAACTTTATTGGCATGGCAAGGTTTATGAGGGTTATCAAAGTTAACACCACAAGAATTTTTATTTAGAGCAAAGTTTTATAGAGATGGACAGGTTTAGATCTGTGAGTAGGTCAGAGTTGGTGTAATCCACATACCCAGGGGCTAGAAGACAAGGCAAGCAATTAGCAAGATGCTAGAAGTAAATGTCAGGAAAGATAGACACTTTCAGTTTTCTCCATGCCATACAAGTTACCCCAAACTGCACATCAGGAAGTGGGTCCAACTGAGTCCTGCACCACCACTGACATCCCTGTGAATTTGGCCCAGTGTGTGCATCTTTAGTTTAATAGTTCCGGCTAACAGGAAGCTGTCTCTGCTAACTTTTTCCGTTTCAAAAAAAGTGAAATTTTCTTGCTCTCTCTTTACTGGTACATTCTAGTAATGCTTAAAGGAAGTATCACTTGTACATAGGTTGTGCTATTGGGGGGAAGACTGGGCTGCACCAGCACCAAGCCACCCTGGTGGAACCTGCCGCTGCAGTTCTGCAACCCGAGGCATCACAAAGAGGAGGCCCAGCAGCATTCGCAGTGGCTGCCAACCCAGCCAAGTGGGAACAGGATATGGAGGGGGAGGAGGGAGCCTGCCTCTGAATGGTGGCATCCGGAGACCCCCCTTCACTGCATGCCCCCCCAGCCCTGTTTCCATCCTCCATGTGTATCCTCAGCCCCTTTCCTGCTCCCTCACAGACTCCCATTCCCCCTTCTCAACCTGGCATCCCAAAGGAACCCCTGCTCTCTGCCTTTCCCTGCCTTCGTTCCATTTCACATCAGTATCTGGACTGGGCTCACCAAGGAAAGTCTATGTGCTGTAGGAAGTGGCATTATTAACTGAGTATTTCCTTAAGCCTTGTCTTCATTAGGAAAAAAAGAGTTTTCTTCCCATTTGTTACATAAGATGAGGTAAAACCTTAATCTGTAGTTTTAACAGGTTAGCAGACTGAAGTAGAAACTAGGGATGTTAAAATGCATGCATTTTCACTTCTGTACTAACAAAATAAATACAGGCAGTCCCCGGGTTACGTACAAGATAGGGACTGTAGGTTTGTTCTTAAGTTGAATCTGTACGTAAGTCGGAACTGATCAGTTTCAACAGCGGCTGAATCTGGACGCCAGTTCTGACTTACATACGGATTCAACTTAAGAAACCCAGGCGTCCCTAAGTCAGCTGCTGCTGAAACTGATCAGCGGCTGATTCCAGGAAGCCTGGGGCAGAGCAACTCTGCCTCGGGCTTCCTGTAGT